TTCCAATCCAGACCATTCCATGAATCTATGATTCCCTCTTTACTGTAACTGACCAACACTACTGAGGCAGATGCAGGTGTGGCACATATCCTCTTTTCTGAACTCACAGCACTGGTATCAGCTTGCTAGTGGAAAAGGGCTCCACAGTCCTTCTTTTACTGCCAGAAACCACCAGCCAGCCCACCCCTGCCTAGCTCCACTCCCTAATACAGGGCCAGAGCACAGCTGAGGCTCTAACAGCACCAAGCCTCATTTCTCCCTGCTCTCCAGCTTAGGTCCTGCTCTCCAGCTTAAGTCCTGCTCTGCGGACAGAGAGGAGCTTTGAGGACATTGCATGACATAGGCAGAGCACAGTCTAAGGCAGTAAGCTCTAGTTTCCTCCCAGGCCAGATAAAAGCATGTGCCTTGACTCCCTGAATGCGAGGCTGGCTGGGCCAGGGCTGTACCTGAGTTGGCGAGGGCCAGAGCTTTGAGCGTGACAAACTCCTCCTTTTCCACTTTGAGCTTCTTGTAGCGGCGCACCAGTTGTAGGATGGCTAGGTAGAGCTCCAGTAGCCCCGTCAGACGAGAGTGCTCTTCATCCATGATGTAGTCCTCAGCATAGACAAGCTTGTCCTCATACGGCAGTGAGCGGTACACAATGCCCAGGATGAGGATTTCCATCCAGGCGCTCTGCAGGAGGCTCATCTGGTCCCCAAGGGAGAGGTTGGAGAACCCTGACAGGGCAAAAGACAAGCAGGGTCAAATGGATGCGCAAGCAAAGCCTCTAGGAGCCTGGGGTTCTTAGTTTCCCTGGGATTCACCACAAGCACTCTCCCCCACTGGCCTGCTGCTTTTAAATGAAAACAAAACAAAACAACCCCCCCCCCTCCCAAAAAAAAACTTACTAAAGTGACCCTGTCTCTGTGGCAATCAGCACAGACAGACCTTGCTCTTCTCTTTGCTCCCATGCCCACCCACAGCCTCAAACAGGAGTCCTGATGCTCTGACTGCATTTATGGCAATGATAATGTATTTTCAGTGATCTGTGTTTCTTCTATAGCAGCAACTGTTTTGTACCACATTGTCCTGCTCACTGTTCCTATGGAGTTTTGTACTGCAGCCTATTTAGTCTGCCTCAAGTTCATAGAAGAGCTCCAGATGGCAGAAAAGAAGGCTTCTGATGGGATAGGAGGGAATTACACAGGCCTGAATTACAAGCATACTACAATCTCTCATTTTGGCCAACATGATAAAAGGTCTGTCCCGGTTTTGCTAGGATAGAGTTAATTCTTTTTTTAGTAATTAGAATAGCTGTATTTTAGTTTCATTTCAGAAGAACTTGTTATGAGAAGAACATTTATAAAAGTACTGGTGTTATTAGTTGCTGCTGGAGCCCAAGGCCACCGTGTTTGGCTGGTTCACAGCTGCATTAGGACTGGGAGGGAGAAGCGCAGTGAATAGCAAAACCCAAAACTGGCATCTGGATGTGCCAATGAAATCTTCCATATCATATCATGTCATGTCAGTATATTAACCAGGGTTGACCGGAAATCGGGAGTATTCTCTCAGGCTCACTCTTCTGGGGTTTTGGTTTCAGGACTGTCTCTGCTCCGGGATCGATGGCTGGCACAGGCTGAGCATCGGTCAGCAGGCGGTGAGAAAATTTCACTGTGTATCACTCATTTGTATAGTCTGTTATCACTGTTGTTATCATGATAATTTTATTTTAATTAGTAAATAGTTTTTATCTCAACCCATGAGTTTCCTTGCCCTTTTTTTTCCAATTCTCTCCCCTACTCCCTGGGCAAGGGAGGGGGAGGGTGAGAGAGCAGGCTGTGTTTGGCTGCAAGCAAAAAGGGTGAATCCACCCAAACCACCACAAGGTCCTACCACAACAGAGCACTGAAATGCATTCAAATGCTGAATACATTTGTGAACAGAATCTTCTTCTGTTCCTCATTGCTCTCTGAGCTCCACATCATCAGCTTTCTTCACCTCACAGCCAACAACCCTACATAATGTCAAAAACACCTCTATGATGCCGTACAAGCACCTAAATCACAGCCAAACCCAGTAGCAACAGAACCAGCACCCAGCAGTAAACCAGTTAATTCTCAAATAGAGAAAGAGCAATCACTATCTGGAGACAGAGCCCCCCCTAACAGCCCCAGAGCCCACCTGAGAAAGAGGAGAGCCCAAAACACAGGGGCATTGTCTGCCCCAAGGGGAAAAAAAAAGTGCATGGGAAGAAAGCTTTCTGTTATGTTCTGTGTACCAGGTACCCTTGAAGGCCAGACCATGAAAGATCCTGGGAGATGGGCACTGTGCAACAGTGATGAGATTACAGACAAGGATGCCAAGCACAGTGTGTTGGTCCCATCTAGGCAGCTCCTGCCCACCACTGGCAGGCCGGGACTGTCTAAAGGTTCCCAGGGCTGTGAGAGAATGGGACACCCAGGCACTCCTGAGCCTGGGGTGGGGGGGCAATGCTCCAGCAGCCTCCCCTGACAGTTTTCTCCCCAGATGCTTATTAAGCCTCAGGGCTCACCAAGAGAGGCCTGTGAGCTCATTAGCCTCTGTCGAGGAGGCTCCCAGTGCTGCTGGCTGTGTGCTAGGCTCAGCAGGACTCCTTCACCCCACAGCCCTCCCTACTCACAGTTCTTGGCCCTGCACTGGGGCCTGGGTAGCCAGCCACCAGGATGACCATTTGATTTCTCTTGTTATCAAGTTGGCAATTAACAAAAGAGCTGATGATTGCTATATTGACTGACTGTGGGTTCTCTTTTTCTATCTGCACTATCTCAGCTGGGGAAGGGAAGGCAGAAGGGTGGGTTAGTCGTATTTATTTATCACTACGCCATGTTTTGTGTTTGTGTTGCCAGGGGAAGCAAAGGGTGATAATGGCCTGGCAGCCCTTGGACATCCAATTTCCCTTATCAGGCCACTGAATAGAAAAGAGGCCCCAGGCCACATTAATTAACAGATACCAATCAGCTGTCACGTGTTTTGTGTGCAAGGTCTGAGGGGAGCAGTGGGAGGGAAGAATCAATAAACCATTGGGGAGGAGTGCCAGAGGGAACAGCTAAAGAGGAGTCCAGGCTACTGGGGAGAAGAGCTGCAAATCCAGCTCCATGACTGTGAGATTGATTCCCATGCAGCACAGCCTGTGCTCCATGTAGCCCTGCACCTGGTGAATCCCAGCCCTTGCTCAGGCTGTGAGTCCTTCAGAAGTGCCTCATCCTTTGCCTCACCCTTCTGCCCCTTACCTCCTGCAGTCAGTGCTGTGCTGCTCCTGAACACAGCCCTCCTAAATCCAAGTGTGGGCAGGTGCAGCTTGAAGGCTTGGGATCTTGTCTCCACAGGTCTCCTGCTTGTTGCACAGAGAACTGGTGAGATTAGCCCTGAGACAGCAGTAATGATGCTATGCACAGCACTCTAGCACTTGGAATCTCTCCTTTGGCCACCCTTCTCCTATCTCAGATCATGGAGAACAGCCCAGCATTTAGGCTGCTGCCTTAAGTCCAGTTTCTGGGTCAGTCACATGGGCTTTTTGCATCTTCACTCCCCATTTGGGTTACAAAAAGGGTTATGCCATCACCTCACTGTGATATGACAATGAAATTTGTTAAATATTGAGAAACAGCCATGTAGTAGGGAGAGAGGATTCAGGACAGACATGGCTCACACTTTTCTACAAGAAAATAAAGTAGAAAAATTGCCTTAACCCTTGCAGTAGCCCGTACATCCAGCATCTCTGTTAATCAGTCTTTCCCGGAGGCACTTATGGCAGGTAGGAGAGACCATGCTTTACTCTGTACCAGGAGAACAGAAGAGCCATCTATAATTGCCCTACTCACCTGGGAAAGCCCCCTGCCAGAAGCACTCCCAGGTAGCCAACTTCAGCTCTGGTACGTTAGCATGAGGGAGGGAGTGCCGCAGTGCCAAGTCTGGACTTGAAACATCTGACAGAATTGGGACCCTTTTCATCCAGTGTTTACACATGTAGAATGCAAGGGCTGGAGGACTGTGCCTTTATCATTGCAGTCTGCACAGACAAGGGAAGATCATATAACCTGGGGTCTCCCATGCTATAAAACTTGAGATCAGGAAAGGCAAATGCTAATTTCACCTGGCCAAAGTCACAGGCTTGCTATTACAGGTTTGTAACACTGGAGAACCTCTAGATGTGAAATTCAACTGCCTCACCATCTTGCAGCTCCCAGGAACTGCTAGAGTCCAGCCCCTTTTGCATTCCTGAGCTGTTTGATGGCATAGCATCCAGAGAGAGTGTCCTTAGTGATCTGTTTCTTGCTGCTTTTCTCAGGTCTTATCCTGAAAGGTGCTGAATGCTTCACTGGCATCCTTAGACTCCCAAAAGAGGAGCCTCTGTCTCTAGCACAGAGCTACATGCATGGTTCCTTCTTTCCTAGGTGCAGGTTGAGAAAAGCTGCTTTATTTGCAATAGCTGATGTGACATTAAGGTTTTTTATTTTTTGTGATTATTTTTTTTATTTTATTTCAATGGCTTGGCAGCGGGAGCTCCCAGAATTTAAAAAAAAAAAAGAGTCACATAATTTGTGGCAAGTGGAGTTCATAATCTGTTAATTTATTATCATTTCTGTCATCCTGGAGGGCCATTAGCAGAGGTAATAAAGGGAGATGTAATTATAGGATCTGAGGCCACTCCAGACACAGCTGCTGTCACTCCACTTGCCATATTTCATTCTGTGCTAACACTATCGTCTTCCTAGTGAGAACAGCACAACAGCTACCCTGGGAGAGCCTTCGTCGTCACCCCTCGAGAGAAGTCTTGTCTCCCTGCATCAAGGCACACAGAAAAGGTAGATGTTGTTCAAAGACAATTAGTATGGGGTTGGGGGGGGGAAGGGGGGTGAGTAGTGGGGAGGGGGCCTTATACAGAAGGGGACAACTCCGCAGTGGCTAAGCATAGCTTTTGAGCTAATGGCTAATAAGGCTATTGAGCTAGTAACATTTACTAAATAACATTAAATCACGCTTTCTTGTTATCATAGGAGGGTGTGTTTAAACTTAACTGATTTTATTTGCTAACACTGAGGGGTAGAAGTTTGTGCTGAGACCTGGGATTCTGAAGGGTTGGTATGACTTTAACATCACACTGTTCTTTACCAATTCCAGTGTGAACACAAGGCAGGAATATGTGACTTTTGTTCCTTTCTCCATCTCTCTCTGTCCAAGAATTCATGCACACAGGAAGCAACGTCCTGTTTTGCTCACAATCCTTGGAAGGCAGAAACAGGAGGCATGGTTAATCTAGACACCTGGCCGCCTCCTGGCCCTGCCCTGCTCTGCCCCCTTGCTGCCTAACTCAGTACGTTTCACACTTGTTTCAGAACTATAGGGTATTTTGTTCCATTTTTATGAACTGTCTATTATGTTTGTTTCTCAGTACTGCTCCCTTGTCTAACAATCCCTGAGCTCTCTCCTGTACACACCGTCCTGTTATAATACTGCTGCTGGTCTGAACTGTGCCAGGCTGATGGCTGTTGCTGTGTTGCAGGGCCTTTGACAGGAAAGGAAAATACACAGAGAAAATGGAGATGATGGCAGGTATGTCCTGCCTGTCAGAAAGGAGAGGAAGAGCCCCTTTCACAGTGCAGGAGTAATCTCTACTATACTAACATCTACTACTAACATCACCATGGCAGGTTGAAAAACTCTGTAGGAACTCAGAGCTAAGCACCCCACGCTCATCTCACAGCTGTAAGCTAGGGAACTACAGCAGGGGACCTTCCACAAACAGAAACAGCCAAGGTTAGAAGAACACACAACAGCACCTCACTGGGCAGCTGCAGCAGCTAATTGCATTGCATTAAAACCATTCCTGTTAACACCCCAAGTACTGGGTTAGTAGAGCAATCCAGGCTGAATTCCCTAATCACCACTGTAACCCTACTTGTGATGAATCAGCCCCAGATGGATTCCAGCACTAGTGATGGCTGTAATCCCTGCAGGTACTGCAGATCTCACGTAAGAAGGGCACCACTAAGATTAACCTCTACTCAGAAACACTGTCCTGAGAAAGTTTCTCCAAGCTTTATAGTCCCACCACATAACCATCCATATTCCCAGGAAACCACTAAATCTAGAGGCACAGGAGAAATACTCCCTCTGAAAAAAGAGAAGCAGCCACCAAAAAGCCAAAAGAGGAGCTACAAATAGAAGCAAAATACATGGGAGAACTAAACTAACTGATCACTTGTGCTAAGATGCCTCACCAAACAAGGAAGAACTTAAAGCCAAGAAGCAAAGCAAGAGAACATGGACCCATGCAGTGGAAGACATGGAGAACATGCAATATGGGTTAAATCCTGTGATCCTGTGGCTGAGCCTCAGATATTCTGACACAAGGAAGGGGGACAGAAGGCAGGAGACAGCTGTAGAGAGCTGTTCATAGCGAGCATCTGAAGCAGCCTTTGGAAAGCAGCCACGTAAACCCCAAGGACATCTTCTAAGTTCCCTGGCCAACCTTCACACCGAAATCCAACCTATCTTTTTTGGAGGGGTGCAGGGAACTAGAGAGAAGGGACATTTTTCTTTCCCAGTCCAAATCTTTGTCCCCAGAAACTCCTTGAGAGACATATCTGCTCCTTCAGCCTAGGTCCATCCTACCTGCAGGTGTGCAACACTCACTATGTCACTCAATCATACAGGTACCCTCATTGGTTATAGTCAGTGAGCCTTCAGAGACTAATCACATTGCCAATAAGGTGTCCTCCTTATTTGTCAGCATTGAAGCCTGGAGATTCACTGACAATAGTGGGTATGTCCTCCATCCGAATGGGACTTGTTCTGTGATGAATCCAGTAAGACAAAAGTTTTCCTGAACCTGGGCAAGAATGCCCACTACAAACAGGGTGGCTACCTGTCTTGTCATTAGCAGTGAAGTTCAGTCCCTGCCATAACATTTCTTCATCTATACATATAACAGACGTAGGTCATGTTGATGCAGCGCAAACTAAAGTCCACCACACCATCCCAAGGGTTGTTTCCCAAGTACTTTTGCTGTGCCACTCAATACCAGGTACAGCTGAGAACTTCATTATATCATCTCGAAGACTTCTGCATAATCCCAGGGCATACACACATACAGTCATCAATTTATGCACCTACACCATAGGCTATATTGGAGTTTGTTACCAATGAGAACCCACCACAAGCAGTTTTCTGTGACGCTGATTTCCACCCATCACTATACGTAAAAATCCTGGTTGAAGACAAAACTAATAAGCACAGTGATAAATACCAGTTCCCTTTGCTGTTCATGCTTACATCCTTGTAATTCCTTCTGTTTACCTGGGATGTGCTTTGCCCAGCCAATGATCACCACCAGTTCCCTGTCTGCCAGGTCACAGAGGGTTGTCAGGGCTTTGATGTCACTCTCTGGCATGGTTGGATCAGGCATGGCATAAATCTTCTCTGGCTCAGCCACCAGCAAGTGGGAGACGATCTTAGTCACTGCACATTTCAAAGGAGAAGTTGTTGTTGCATCTCTCATGACATATAACAAGGAAAGAGTCACAACAGCCCTTTCTAGAAGGACCTTCTTGGGATGAGACATGACAATAGAGGCCATAGGACCTCAGAAATGGTTTTGGTCACAACAGTAGAAGACTACACTGCAGCTATACAAGCTGGAGTGATCTGCGTATGCCAAACCAGCTCTGTACAGGGATGATGAAAACAGGAAGCTACTGTAAGGTTGTCAGCCGTGGTCTCAGGTAGGTCCAACAAGGGGAGGAGGAGGCATGAATAATCAGTTGGTGGGAGTTCAGAGAACTACAGGTAGTATGGAAGAAAGAAATCAGCCTGGGACCAGTTTTGTTAACATAGCTTGGATACAGGAAAAGATCAGAATATCACTAAATTGATTTACATAATCTCCTAGGAAAGGTCTGGTATTTAAGGCTAGGTACAAGGAATACAGCGCCTGAGCTGTACCTTAGGTGAACCTAATCTACTTCTGCACTATGATCATAAGAAAAAAATCCTAGGGCTGGTGACTGATAAGGGAATCAGAAGTGACAACCGCTCCATTGTATGTTTTGGGAGACTAATAAAAAGAAACATAGTGGTTGCTCAGAGGACCACAATTCGAGACCAATACATACGTGGCTTTTTAGCTGGGGGAGGGATCTGTAGGCTCAGGTAAGTGCTACTCTCAGAATCCAGTCTCCTCTTGTATTTCTGACGGCCTCCACGGACTCGATCCAGACGAACACCTGCAGGTAAAACAAGATAAATCCTCATGATTCCTTAGTGCCACAGGGAACCTTGACATGCAGATGCTAAAATTTGCTAAGTAAGACGTTCCCCACACTCAAGGGAGCTTCCCTCTCCCAAACACTTGAGATCTCAGCTGAACCCAGCAATCCCAATAATACCAGCTAGACTGCCTCAAGCTCTAACCATGCTGCTGGGAGCTTCACTTTTATTCAAAACATTAATGAACACCGAAATTAACCCATTCAAACTCTTGAATCACCATCAATCTGATGGGAAAATGAAAAGCTTCAGACATCAATGCCCTCCAGATGATCTTGCTTTTAAAAAGAAACACTTTAAATGTCTATCAAACCTGCAGTTATAAAAATAAGCTTTTAAATTGTTCTTAAAAATGAGTTGTTAAACTTTTTGTGACCTCCCTCTGTTTATATTTGAAAAAAGTAACCTATAGCAAATAGATTATGAACTATGAATTCAACAAAGATGTTTCAGCCTTGATCAAGTAAGGCAACTGTAATAAAAGTAGAACCCAAATAAATAGAAACTACGCCTACTACAATAAAGCAATGATAAAAGCTGAAGTAGGGAGACACTGAAGAATTTGTTACAGTTTTTTCAAAATACAGTGAATCAAACTGCAAATAGCACACTGAAAACAGTTCCCAGCGACTGGGAAACACCAGTGACTGTCACCATGCAAAAAACTATAGCACCATTAACAGACTTGGAACAGCAACTGAACTGCTGTATCAGTACAAAATACAATGTTAAAAACAAATTGTGAAAAAAATTATAGATCTTTGTCCAATTGTCAGTTATTTCTGGCCAGCTATATTATCTCTGGTAATCAGCTCTTGTGAAATTGGGATAATTCAATCTTACTGGGAGAAACGGCTACTGAAAAAACCCCCCAAAAACCAAACCAACAAAACCAAAAACCTTTAAAGATAAATGTAGGAACATTCAAATAGAATAAAAATTTCAATTTATACTATACACATACTTCTTCAGAAATACAGATGATTTTATCTAGTCTGATCACAGGAACCAATTATGTGATACAATTACTAATCACATTGCGCCATTCATATTTCGCAATCAATCCACTGCATAAACGCAAACAACTAAAAGCAAACACTCCAAATCGGTTTTGAAGTGATGCTTTTTGAACAACTTGTACACCTGAAAAAATCTCCATTCTGCTGACAAATATTCTATCCTAGAAAGAGACACATTTGTCATTTGCCCTGTGTGTTTTAATGCCACATTTTCTTACGATGTCAGGGCAAAGAGAAAGCTTTTACTGTAATGCTCACAGCAGCCCCACTTGCGCCACATGAAACCGTTATCTGCCACAACATCTAGATCCTGATACTCTTCATGGCTGGAGCACCCAAACCAGCTTGACTGACAGACAGTACCAATAGCCCCACCACAGCAAGAATAACCAACACCAACCAGGCCAAAAGCACTCAGTTACACAGTCTGACAGCAAAATCTCTCTGGCAGTAGCAACACCCACATGGAGGTCTAGGTGACATTACCTGTAAGCCATGGTGTGGGGGGAGAGAGGCTCATAGGCATGATGTTATTAATGCTATATAGCTGCTTCCTTTTAACAGTCCTGGTGCTCCCATTGAGCAGGAGAACCTGGAATGAGCAGGCCTGGAGCTCTCCAGAGCAAAGGAACTGCTGCTCCAAGTGGCTGCTATGGGAGGATTACAGACATTGGAAGATGGAGAGAAGGACATGAAGCCAAATAGGTGAACTCAGATTAAACTGAGTAATTTCCTTCCCCTGCCCCACTTTATATTTCTGACTCTGTGTGGAAAATTCACCGACATCTCTAAGCGAAGTACCACCTTTCTCCTCCATTACATGGTAGTGTTTCTGAAAACATTGTCCATTGCTTCTTTTACCTCCATACCCAGCAGCACATAGCCTGTGGAGAAGACTCCTTCCTGGGAGATCCAACAGGTTCCAGAGAGTGATTTCAGAAAGGGCAGCCAGGGAATCCCAAACCTGAGATTACCTAGGGAGATCCCTGAGGAACAGCACTAATAAAGTTCTGGATGATGCAGAAAACTTTCATTTCTGTCCATGATTTATTTCCCTCTATAAATGTGCCCTGGTTGCCTAAGAAGGAAGACCTCTGTTCCATGCTCTGATGAATGAACAACACCTACCTATAAGCCAGGAGAGGAGAGAGAGACACAAATCTCGGGAACTGCCAGTAAACCAAATAACCAGCTGTGAAAATTAAAAGGGTCAGGAATACAGTGTTCAAAGATTACAGAGGAATCCAGAACAGGCTGCAGGACTTCAGGTGTGAATCACAGCTCCCCAGGACCCTCGCAGTAGAAGGGTCACAGGGGGCTCCATTCCCTCATGCCAGTGGGCAGGATGTCACTGGTGCAGGGAGATGCCATTCTCAGCCCAGGAGAAACCAACACACAGCCCTTCAGGACACTTCCACTGTGCAGTTTGATAAGCAGCAGGGAGGGGAGACTGGGAGGGGTAGGGAGGAAGTGAGGGAAGGAGCTCATTTCCTTCTCCCAAGGAGAAGCATGCCATCCTCCAGTGCTTGGCAGAGAGATGGCTGCACAGGTTGCAGCAGTATTAGGGACCCTCAATCAGATTATAAGGACACAAAGGACTTAAGTGCATTAAAAAAAGATAAGAGAGACACTAAGAGATTTACCCTCCATCCCTCCTTCCCTCACTGAGCAGATAGAGGTCTGTTTGCCCAAGGACTTTGGCTTGTTAATTTTGAACAAGTGTTTGTCCTCTTCTTGTTCCCCATCCTGTGTGACACTCCTTGAGGCAAATATTTTCAATCAGCATTTGCAGAGCCACTATTCTACCCTGTCGTCATCTCTCCAGTCACAAAGTTTGCTTTACAATATGAAGTTGGGAGGAGTGGCTGACACAC